ACGGTAGAATCTCGATGTTCCGAAAATTATAGCAAATACCCTGATAAGCCTTGTTGTTATTATTATACGCAATACACTTAAAAGGCATTTTTAGATGAAATATTTTTTTTTGCAAAAACGCTAGCAGTGCTTTTTATAAGATTTAATACAATATTTTCCTATAATTTGTATTGTTTTAAATCTCAAGGTTATTTGTCAACTTGAAAACATGCTGTTGCGATGTAAATAATTCACAACACCTCTAAGAATCGTAAACTGATAATTTTTAACGACTAGGGACATAATTTACATATTTTTGACTCTAAAAACGAAAAGGCAGGAGAAAAGGTGGAGTCCTCCTGCCCTAAAACTTGAAATTTCTGTAACTTTAGTAACCAATACTGGTTATCGAACAGACACCATTTCAATATGTATAGCAGATTTGTCTAATTATTATTTATTTACGTATTACACTTCAAAGGCATTTTTAGATAAAATGTTTATTTTGCAAAAATGCTAGCAGTGCTTGTTTTAAGATTTAATACAATATTTTCCTACAATTTGTATCGTTTTGGATTGCGTGGTTATTTTTCAACATTAAACATGTTGTTAGCAAAGTTAACGTGTTTTTTAACAACAACTGGTGTAATGTAAATAAATCACAATTCCTCTAAGAATCGGATAATTATAATTTTTAACGAATTACGAACATAATTTTTATAATTTTGAATCTAAAAATATTAAAAAAAGAATAGATGTTTACGATTACTCTACAATTGCCTACAATCCCTATCAAACATATTTGAACTCTTTAGGACAAAAGCTTAAATCTACTATTATTTATTAAGCTGAAATTAGTTTTATGCATTTTAAACTAGTTGTTATTTTGTTACACTTATGACAGGAGCGTATGAATTAGGGGTAATAGGTAGTTACAGATATTCAAGCAATATCATTGTTTAAGTGATAATATCATTATCAAAATAACGCTTATCTAACCGACACAGATAATCCTCATGTGCATAATAATGTAAACAAACTTTATATATAATATTATTATGTTATGTGATAATACAAGGTGATCAACTTATCGTTAACCACTCTTTACATAGGTATTGTTTTTATGCAATGGGATCTCAATTTTTCACCATTTTTTTTTTTTACTCCCCTCACTACTTAGCTTTTTTGATAGCCTTTTTAGAAACTTAAATAATAACGCATATATTTCATTAACTTTTTTAATCGAGATTAATGTAGTAACAATTTTGACTGGTCGAAAACCGGTGTTGGATAAATATTTTTGAAGTAATTGAAGTCTCAAGTTTAGGGCAGGAGAAAGGGTGGAGTGAACTATTATTTTTATCTACGAACATTTCCCAACCACACTTCCCCACCCATCCTAACTTTTAAACTCTATCAATTTTAAAAATAGTTCTTAAGTTTCAAAAAATGGGATCAAGAAAACTAGTTTGGGAGGGGGGTAAAAACAAAAAAATATTAAGAAATTGACATCACATTGTATAAAAACTTTATGGAAAAATAATTGTATTATTAATTATACCTAGTGAGATATTGAGTGGTTCACTATAAGTTGATTCCCCTATATTATTGCTATTTTAACGAAATTTTGGTCAACGTTTATGACCAATAATAAAAACCTAAATGGTAAACAAATAACATTAACAGTTGTTTTTGTATTTAAATGTTTGACCTATTTTATTTCTCTCATGGTAGAATCTCGGTGTTTACAATATTTTCCCACAATTTGAATGGTTTTAAATAATATGTTTTTTTTCAACATGAAAATATTTTGATAGCAAAGTTATCGCTTCGTTTTTACAGCATTTTATCATTTAAAGTAAACAAATCAAATTTCTTTATACCTAAAAGTTTAAATGTGATTCACCATAATCAAAGCGTGTGTCGAAAGTTTTTAATACACGATATTATGATTTTCAAAATAACTTTAAAGATAAGCATTGTTTAGCTTTAGAATATTAATTTCCAATGGAATATAACGAAAAAATAATTAAAATTAACGTGAAATGATAAGTGTTACCTATTAGTCATAATAAAAATATTACACGGCAATTTTTAGGTTAGGTTAGGTTGTATGTTATTTTGTTATCAGTTGACAGTTTTATATCATTCAAATATTCTTATTGGAACTTGGATGTACAGCAGCTATCAAAGCAATGACTTTAGCGTTTCTTCCATAGCGCTAAAATCCGAAAAAAATATTTTACCCTCTTCACCGCACGTCTATTACTTCTAATGCTAATAACTGTAACACCAATTGTTAGAACTAAACTTGCAAAAACTAATCTATCCAAAAACAAAATTATTTATAGGGATTGCTATTTGAAAATCAAAAGTTGCTGTCGAGTTTACGTGAAAGGGGGGGAGATGTTCAAGAATATTGATTTATAGATTTATTGATGTATAGAGAAGAGTATGAAAAAGACTAATTATCGATGTCTTCAACTACCTAATACACAGAAAGAAGTTAATGAAATCTATGCATTACTATTTGAGTTTTAAAAGTTGCTTACAAAAATTTTAAGTTGGGAGTAGTGTAAAAACGAAAAAAATTGTAGAAAATTGATATCATATTGTATCAAAACAAAACGAAAAAAAAAAATTAATTTTTTTATTTAACTCTATGGGATATTGAGTATTTAATGATAAAAAAAATCACCTAGTATATATGTATATATAGAAACCGCTGATACGTAACACTAATATTTTAGTTTTACTAAAATAAAGACTCTAGACTTTAGACTCTCGCTTTTTTAGTAGGTCGTTTATGTACTGACAGATAGCTAGACTTACACTACACTTAATCAGTATTAAGTGACAAAATAGGTGTATTAAAAAAAAATGTAACGACTTAAAGTTACTAATATTGAATAATGGTGAAGCAATGTGGACGGATGGGATGGAATGGAAGAGGAGTGGTCTCGCCAAATGACCTAAATAGCCTGTATATTAAGCCAATAGAAATTATGACTGAAAGTAGTGAATCAATTTATAATATCGAGCAAAGATTTTTAATTATGAAGTAGATTTATTTATTTGACAATTTTGATATTATTGTGGTACGCAAAAAATATTTAAATATAATAAAAGAAGTATTTTATAGTTGATGATGTATTAGTTAGAGTTGTATTATTTATTATAATAAACATGAGAGTACAGAAATTATTTAACTAAAAATGAAGTAAATACGCTTTCCCCAATTGCCAAATGGTTTTCGTTGTTTACAATATATAAAATACCGTAAAAGTACTTGAATGACATCATGATATTTTCTTCATGTCTTATGATACAAGTATCGTCGGCTGAAACAATAGCATCTGTTGAGTATGTATATGGAAATTTTGAACTCATGAACAATCCTATCATCCGACATTGGTAGAAAAAATGAATATTGTGGTTTCCTGGGTCTAAAAAATAGTTTTCAAAAGTAAGCCAAATTTAGCTAGCTGCATTGACAAAAAAATACATAGTTGGACGAACTCTGGCTAATCTTATATCCTCACCCAAGAAAAAAAGTGTATTGAGTCACAAAATGTAAATTTTACAGGATAGAGAAAACTATAATTATTTATTAATAAATTAATAAATAACTGTATTCTATCAAGGATAAAAGAGACAGCTGAAAATGTAATTGGTCAATACCAAAGTGGTTTTAGGCCAGATAGATCAACTGACCAAATATTTATCGTCAGGCAACTTTTACAAAAAAGGCAGTGAATAGAGCATGAAATTTAAGTCTAGGTGATCCAAAAAACCGGAAAATTGAAATTTTGTACTTAATACACTTTTGTTCTTAGGTACGGATATTAAAATAATAAAACAACTATAAGTATTAAACATCTTGTTGAACTAAGTTTAGTTAAATTAATTGGACGATTTATTTATGTAGTTATTTAAACTATAAATGAGTTAACTGTAATGTTTTTTTGTCCAAATATGCATTTTTTCCGTGTAACCACTAGTTTTTTTTTATTATTTTATTGTTTACTGTTTATAATATCGGTTATTAACGTTAATAAATGTTTTTTAAACACATTTCTTCGCTCATTTCCAAGTCTTGCAACACCTCGTTTATCTCTACCTGAAAAATCAATAAATGTGTTAACAAAGTATAAATAATTTTTTAAAGTGATATTATTATGACAATTTTGGAACCTCATTAAAAACGATGAAATTTCATAATTACGAATTACATTATTCGAAAAACACACATTTATCAAACACACTAACCATTAAAATATGTTTTATTGGAATTATACGTTTATGTGGTGTCTATTTAAAAAAAAAAGTTATTCGAAAAATCTGTTATTTATCAACCAAATAATATTTTATTCAACTAGTATGTTATTTAAAAAAAAAAACTGTTTATTGACCGATTTTCTATAGTAATCTAGCTGGTAAGAATGGCCAAAGTGAAGAAAAAGTAGACATTTTAATGAATAGTAGTTTAATCAATGTCAAAAACTTATTGTGATATTTTATTATAGTAAGAAGATGTGTGGCAACTATAATTACTGGTTTAATTTTACACTGACAATTCAAATTCCAATTGAAATAAATATGGCACACAAATATCGACTAGTGAATACAAGCCATTCTACTAGCTAATAAAATGTTTTATTAAAATAACTAATAAAAAAAAAAAGACTAATTCTTGTTGTTTAATACTTGTGTCGCTATAATGGGTCGCTATGCCCATTTATATCTAAATTTAGAAGTAAAACATATAAAGTTATAAGTTTAAAAGTTCAATGAAAGTACTATTTTGATGCGCTCTGTTGGGGATAAAATTTTTTGAACGCTAAAATATATAGCGTTTAAATGAACGTAAGGTTTTTGAAAAAATATTTGTGTTATGTTATGTTTAGTTTATTATTAACTTGTAAATTGACAGTTTTCATTTTAACAGTTTATTCTCATTACGTTACGAAAACCTAGATTGACTTAAAATAAATTTTGAATGACCATCTAGATTTTAAACGCTATTTACGATTGTCGGATAAAACGTATTTACCAAGAATTGCAACTTCAGTGGGATGAATGCCTGGAACAAAAACATAAAAATATGCAATACATATTTATTCGGTTATTGAATATGAGTATTTTATTAGATCGACGTACAACAATAATTTTAAAAATAAGATAACTTAGGCCAATTAATTAACTTAATTTTGTTTTAAATTTACTTTAATTATTAAATTTATTGAGCAATTATTAAAAAAGTCAACCTTGCCCAAACACTCCACGCTAGAATGTGATTTTATTAAGAAAATGTACTAGAGTCCTATGCGTAAAACGTGTAGATATTTATTATCTAATAAGAAAGATATTAATGGTTGCGGCGGCCGATAAGTTTTTACGAATTATCCATTATTTTATTTATCTTTCATTTTCATTTCATTTGATTAATTTACTTTTGTACACTTGTTTATTCAGTGTAAACTTTACGATTAATTAACGAGAGTACACCTATAGATGGTTAAAACTTATAAAAACTATATTAATAAAGTAGTTTTAGTTTACATCACTCTGTTGCACACAATCCCGTTTGTGATTTAGTAATTTTATTCATCAACGTAATTAAGTAACTCATGTTACTCAGGTAACTCATTGCTTATGAAAAGGGTCATATTAGTTCAATTAAAACTCATACAATTGGTTGAACGATAAGTTTGAAAAATTGGTATTCACAAATTAAAATAAGTATAGTGCATACGTTTAAAAACTATTTTTTCATAACTTTTTTTAAGTAAAACGGTGTGTGAAACACAGTTATTTTTAATTACCCGAAACTTTAACTATCAGTTTTGTAAAGGGTATGTAAAAATATGTTGAATTTTATAAATACCTGTGCCTTCTAAAAGTATTGCTTGCAGTTGATCCTCTAATCCATGCTCTAAAATTTTTAAAAAAATACACATTTTTATATTCGTGTATCGTCTATTGTTGTGGCAAAATTAATGTGCATATGATTTTTCTCATAATTTAAAAACTAATCTGAAAGCTTTGTGTAATAATGTACTATTAATATGAATTATGATTTACGGGAAGTTTCATTGTCACCAATTGGTTTGTCTGAAATTAAACGATAACATTTTATACTTGTGAATAACAAAAAACTATATGGAAATATTTTTAATTATTACCACATACTGCACACATATGACTCAATCTCTCTGAAATTATGATTACAAAAAAATAATTTTTTAACGATATTTCACTTAATTTCACGTTCCGTTACAAAAATTAAAAGGAGAAAGTCAAGGTATAAAATACACATTTAATAATAATAAGGAAGTTAAATTTACAAATTAATATTGACTGATTTGAATTTAATATTTTTATCACTCATAAATTTGCATTCATAAATTGTTTTTGCAGTTATTGTATGATAATTTAATCAGTTTGGTTATAGAATAATAATTACTCATGTCATCACCAAGTCGAACAATTTCTTTTATTTTGTCATTAAAGGTACCTGAAATAAATAAATAATTCATTGAGTTAAAAAAAATCAAATGAAATTTTAATGCGACATATTATGTATAATAATGTTCTGAATACAAGTAAATTTTTAGTTAAACTTGGCCTATTTAACTAGTGATAATCCGTGTTAGACTTTTATTACACAATTATTCTGTATTAATATCTATTATAGATCATCAATAACATTGTACAAACTGAATTATAATGTAATCATATTATTCGTGTGAGAGACTCTTTTGAGAAATATTCTCAATACAAGTTTGAGCTTATTATTCTCATCAAACCTCGACTTCGCCACTATTGATAACTACTGGAGTACTTCGGTAAAAACCATTTTTTTAAAAATACAATACACTCAGAGGCTAATAGTTGGAAACATTTTTTTATAGAGTCTATAGTACATAAATATAAATTAACTTATAGTCAGGTAAATAACAAGTACAACAAAATTATTAAATTTATAGAATTAATAATTGTAAGTATGTCTTACTACGAAAAATATGTATGTCAATGAATTGGTCTGTAACAAATTATGTATAAAAACTGTAATTCTTAAAACTTAAAAAGTATTTTGTTAACAAAAAAAGTACTGACTTGTAGTATCAAGCTTACGTCTCGATGCTAAACTATCTGGAAAAAAGTTGAATATTGAATTTTGTTTAGCTTTTTTAAACGTAAACCAAGTACCTTGGGTAGGTACTTGTAAAAGCGAATTACATACCATAATCTGCCAAAACGTTTACAATAGCACAGAAGAGAAACACATATATCACTTTCATTTTTGTCTGTAAGTAATAATACAAATTAAAACATATTAAACGGGATTATTAGCCTAAGAACTCGAAGTAATGTAGAAAAAAGACAATTGACTATTAAGCTAATAGTGTTATCATTAAAATTTGTTTAAATTTCCACATTAAAAAAACTATGGTTAGGTTTACAAATACAAATTTTAAAGTTTTACTAATATTTTTGTTTTATATAAAAAACAAATGGTTTTTGGACTGTATTATGTTTTATTATTTGTTGTTTTGAACGTTTGAATTTATTTGCATGATAGTACCTTATTGTTACAAATACTATGTCAAACACAAATTTCGTATTAAAACCAATAAAAATATTTAAACAAATGGTTTTTACCTACGTATGTCATGTATTCTGGTCAACACATTTTTCATTACTGTGTTCATATTTTCCGATCTCTTAATAAATAAATTAAATTCCTCTACATTCAGTAATACGTCGCAGTTAAGAAAAAAGTATCGTTATATATTTTCTATACAATCGAATGTTATGTAATAACACGTAAGAAATATAAATGTTTACACTAGAACGTTGTATAGACGATAGTATATAACCGCATAGTCCATCGAAATTTCTACAGTGTGATTATTTTATCATAGGTCACTCAATATCTCACTTAGTTCAATTTATAATTTTTTTTTTTTTTTTTCATAAAATGTAATCTCGATTTTCCACAAATTTATATATTTCCAGCCCCTCAAACTTAGTTTTTTTGATAGCAACTTTTCAAACATTAATTTTAACACATGCATTTTAAAAAAAGGCGTAGGCCCTATTCAACAAAGTCCAAATTCATTGTGTAAAGTATAATGAAACGTACGTGTCAACACTAATGTTAAACCAAATTTAAATTACAAAAAAACTTACAATATAAAACATTATCTGAAATGTTAACTAATAAATTTATTAGGAACTTAATTACATAGGACACACGCTTTTATTTTTAGTCAAAAATAAAAGATGTTAAACATTATTTAAAATTGTAGTTAATTTTGGGTTATTTTCAAAGTAACTGACATTTAAAATAAAATGTGCTACAATTGATTGGTAAATTGTTCTTTTAGTTAAATATTTTTTTACTATTTTTTAGAAAAGCATGTTTTTAAAAAAGTTTTTAAATTGAGAATAATGTACTAAAAAAATTCAATGGCCCATAACAAGTTTTGAATAGCTATTTTTGAAGTACTTTAATAATAATAATAATAATATGAGTATGAATATCCAAAATTTCTGAGGATAGTGTTCAGTTAGTGCAAAACACTTGTTTAAAAAATACATGGTTTTTGGTGTTCAATATATAAACATATTAGAGTTTCTACGTTTGGAGGAGGAGCTAAAACCGCTAAAAATTAATTTAGTATCTATTCAACCAATTATGAAGTACGCTTTTCTTTTTAGACAAAAATTAAAGATGTTTAAAATTATTTAAACTTATTGTTTATTTTTGGATGTTTTCAAAGTAACAGATATTTTAAAAAAAATGTGCTATAATTGATTGATAAATTGTTATTTTAGTAAAAATTATTTTTTAGTTTCTTAGTTCACTTTTTTACTATTTTTTAGAAAGGCATGTTTTTAAAAAAGTGTTTAAATTAAGATAAATGTACTAAACATTTTTGGCTGGTCGGTAACAAGTTTTGGATAACTACTTTTGAAGTACTCAAATGATAATATGGGTATCCAAAAATTTCTGGTAATAATATTCAGATAGTGCAAAACACTTATTTAAAAATTACATGTCTTTATGTGTTCAATATGTGAATATATTAGAGTTTCTACGTCTAGAGGAGGAGCTAAAGTAGTATCATATAAGCATAATATGGTATACAACTAAAAAAGGGCTAAAAGTCCTACACTACAATACCAAAAAACAATTCACATCAATTCTAAATACAATAAAAAACGTTATGTATCACTTGCATTAGACCAGCAACATTTAGTGTTAATAAAATATTATAATATGTAAAAGTATATTTACAGTATGTGTGGTATGGATTAAAACATTCAACATAAACAAAGCAGCAAGAAGCTATAAGCAATTTTTTTTTTATAAATAACGACTACGTTAAAAATTTGCATCAAAGCGTTTATACCGTTTATTTGAAGGTGGTTTTATCACTTTTATTAATAATAATTCCTGTAGACCTGTGACCTCTGCGTCTCTACTGCTTTGACCCCACTGTACTGGCTTACTAGGATAAAATCACTTTCAAGTAAACGCTTTGATACTTACTATCCGTACTATGCTATGCGTAGTTATAACCAGAATTTTGCATAATTCTAATAAAAAATATCTAAAAAATTATGTAAATAACAAATTATACAAATCAAAATTCTTCGTTTAAAAATATATTCGAATAATTTTTAAAAATATAATTTAAATAATCTGTAAGTGATTTTTTACACCTTAAGTAGTGTCAATAGTCACCACCTTCACTCAAGCTTTGGTAAAAAAAAATAGCTATTTTACTTATTGTACATATTACTAAAGATTATAAATACTTCCAATAAAAATATTTTCAAAAAAATGAGATTTTTTAAGGTAATTTTATTTTAAATATTATTTTGTACACATTTAATACATTCTACATTTAGAAAATATATAAAACCAGTAAATACAGAAACACCATTTCGTTTATTACTTACTTAAATATTTGCAACGATAGTTGTACTGACTGCTTCAATGATTTTTTACGACTGTTCGAATGGCTTATATATTGCCGACCGAAACAATAAAATCTAGATTTATTTTGCAGAATTGTTTATGCGAATTTGTTAATAACAGCAACATTAGTCATTTTTCGTTACGAACAACATATTTACATAATTCTGAATCATAATACCAAGAAGAGTATAATATTTTATTTGTGTACTAAATACTAAACCTTACAAAACAGTTCGTGTAAATGGAAACGCAATGTTAAAATTACCAGATTCGACTGTTTGTTAACCCAAGAGAAAAATGTAGAATCAAGTTTATATGGGGATTATAGTTAGGAAAACCATTGTAATTTTAATTGTATCCACTTAGATACGAACATTTAATTTATTTGACGTGTTTAATGTTTTATAAATATAAACATGTATATTTTCTGAGCTATTTCAGACAAAATCTGAAATTTTTGCTTCAAATTATACAAAATTTATATTCTGCAAATTGTCAAATTTTTAGTATAAATGCCAACATAGAATCAAATTAGTATTACTATAACTCGAGTACTGTTATTAATGAGTAAATTCGAAGAGTCATTAAATATTCCAAAATATATTTTCAAAGCCACATCTTTTGTCCACCAATATGTTTCGCCTATTATATTCAAAACGGCTGTCTGCTTATGCGAATTGTACAAAATGGGAAATTATTGTTGTGATTTTTTAAAAAGGCATGGCGAAAATTGATTAATATTTGTGTTTAATTCCATTGGAAACTGGTATTCTAAAACTAAACAATGCTTATTTTTAAGAATGTTTTGTTGTCACACTGGGTTTAATTAAAAATAGAATAATTTTTCCATAAAGTTGAGAGGGGAGTAAAACAAAAAAGATGGTGAAAATTTGAGATCCTATTGTATAAAAACAATACCTTTTTTTTTTTTATTTATAAAAATATATTTACAATCTGTAATATTAGTTACAATAAGTAAATTTGAAAAAAAAATATGATACAATGACAGGACAACGTGAAAGAAGAGGGTGTCCAGTAACACTACTTCAACTAGATTTAATTACATAATTATAATTGTTTTGAAACAATACCTATGTAAAGAAATAATATAATTTCTAATTAAACCCAGTGAGATATTGAGTGGTTAACGATAAGTTGATCCCCTTGTATTATCACATAACATAATAATATTATTGATGTTATTTCAAAAAGATACATATAGAAACATTATAGGTTTAATCATTAATAGAATATGCATATCATTTGCGTTATACATTTACACGTAGCATGTAGCATTTTAAATGTAACAAGTAAAATAATAATAATTAGACGATTCTACCGTGCAAGAAATAAAATAGTTTAAACATTTGAATACAAAAACAACTGAAAAAAAAAAATATGATAAGAAAAACAACTAGTTTTCAATAAAAAAATAAATAATAAAACTATACAAACTGTTTTTGTAAAATACGAAGATTCCTATAATATTCTATGTTTGTGATACCTATAGGAACTTACCATTTGTTTACATTAAAGCAGTCGCTGTGAAAAACAACTTGGTTTTTATGAAAAAAAAAAAAGATTATATAATATAGGATTACAACTTTTACTGAAGTATGCTGAATCTGCATACTTAAGTAAAAGATAGAATTTACTTGATTGATAGTTTTACAAATAATCTTTATAACTAAGTTATGTTTTTAATACATGTATGGTATAGAGAGAGATTTTTTTTCGTAAACAAGTAGGTTTTAAAAGTATTTTGTTACGTCACTTGTGTACTTAAATGTTTGAACAAAAAAAATGGTGAATAATTGAGATCTCATCATATAAATACTCTATGTAAAGAAAAAATAATAATTCTTATTAAACCCAGTAAGATATTGATTGGTTAACGATAAGTTGATCACCTTGTATTAGTACATAACATAATATTATATATAAAGTTTTTATTACATTATTATGCACATGAGGATTATCTGTGTCCGTTAGATAAGCGTTATTTTGAAATTGATTTTATCACTTAAACAATGATATTGCTTGAATATCTGTAACCACCTATCACTCCTAACCCTATACGCTCCTGTCATGAGTGTAACATAATAACAACTAGTTTAACTTAACTTAACATAGAGAATTAAACTATTTTGAATTTATTGTTTAGTTCTAATTTGAACGTTGAACGTACAACATATTTCTTATCTCATATCAGATAACAGCGTAACGCTTTTTTCGTTATAATTTTTTCGGTTACACACCACAGCTAATTCCCACCCAAAACCCCATTCCCAACCTCATCTTCATCCCCAT